TCAGAAACAGAGAGCAAAACCCTAGGGCAGCAGTAGCCCTTTTATAGAGCTAGCTACTGACCTGTTAACCAATGACCTGTGTCCAAATGCTTAACTTTTGCCCAATGAGAGATGTTAAACTAATAGCCAATCAGGTTGCTCCGTGAGGACCAATCCCAGTTCGCTATCCAAGGGCCAATCCAAAGTGCAGGATTTCAAGCCTGCTTAACATAATGTTAATAAGTTTTATTAAATGGTTTTTTTTTTGTTAGTTCATAACAGATGGTAACTACTGTTAGCTCCTGTGACAGATAAAATGGTCTACACTGAACAGTCATGGCCTCTAAATCTGGTGAGCAATGGCTGTTTGTTATTTTGCTGTTTGTGCACCAGTCTTTACATATATAAATAATTAGGCCCCCTCCTCTTCTCTTACCAGAGGCTATATTGCAATCTTGATGGTGCAAGGTCTGGTCTGCTAGCTCCACTGTAGCATCAGGGATTTTCAGGTGCAGCCAGGATTCTGTGACGATTAGCAGACAGGACTCACAAATTGTGTGGTTGTGGGAGATCTGCAGCTGTAGTTCATCCACTTTGTTTAAAAGGGATCTGGCATTTGTGAGGAACATAGATGGTAATGGGGGTTTCTGCGGTCTCTTCCTCAATTGAGTTAGCAGGCCCGCTCTGCATCCCTGCTTCTATTTTCTTTCCCTATGCCATCTTCTACGCTTACTTAATCCGACAACAATCCATGGAGCTACTGGAGATCTTGCTAGCTCCAATGGGATATTGTGGGATTCTGTATATGCATAGGTGACTTCAGTTTTGAGTTGCTGTCCTATACTTATCAGGTCTTCTCGACAGTACGTTAGTCCGTTGCAGGATGGAGTAAAATTCAGGAAAAAAAAGAAGTAAAAACACAAAAAGAAGAACAGTTGTCGGGAGCATTGAGCCACTGCAACCATGTGCGCTGCCATCTTGTGAGACACATCCATAGCCAAGAGTCATCAGTCATGCTTTCCAGTAATATTTTTGCGCTCCAACAACTTTGGGCTGCCAGGGCGATTATCTAGGCACTTGAGGAATGCACTGTTTTCCCCCACTCCCTTTCTGCTGGCAGCTAAAGAGGTCATTTAAGCTCTCCAGAAAAAGCATACCCTGGAAAAGCAATCCTTAGATCCATTTGCATCACTTAAAGATACCAGCTGGCCTCATTCACCTCACAAGATATCCTAAGGAAATCATCCAGATTTAAGGAAAGCTCACATACCACCCCAGAAAGGCAGTAAAAAAATCAGTACCAATCTTGCATCCTGCCTCTTGGAAGTATACCCCAAAAGGACAGTGCCAGATAGTATTAAAGCAGTGAAGGAAGACCCCCTCCAAAGATAGAAAAGAAACCACGAGGCAGGAAAAAATTCAAACACAATACAAATAATTAAATCACAACAGTAGCTGTTGCTTGTTGAAGCTGAATAGGGAAAATTATCCCATCAATAAACACAGGAGTAAATGTCATCAAGCACAGAATTAACCTTCACCAAAAACCAGTTTTAGACCAAAATGCAGAAAGGGTATGTAAACTTACGTTTGAATGTTTTAGCTAGCCAAGAAGCCTTGCTGAATGTCACTCATCTTGGTTCCCTGTCACTAAAAGCTTTGCTTTATTATTCAATTATTTCTTCAGTGCTGATTGTCCAGGGAAGTATTTCTTCCCAACAGCAGTGTAAAAATCTTTAAAAATCCCTTCCCCTTTAAGAAAGTCAAGCCTTAGAAGCTCTGGAGACAGGAAGTCTAGACATACTGGCAAGAATGTAATAAAGGTGGAAGAAAACAAAAGGAGATTGCTTCTAACTACTGGGTCTCCGGACTACTTAGAAAGTTAACAAGGGGTTCTATAGAACCTGACAGAACCGGTAGAATCCCACCCCTGGTCTAATAGCTGAAAGCAGTTAATAAGCAATTTTTGAAATTGAAGTATGCAAACCTAATGTCCTTTAAAAGATACAGACTGTGTGGCTTGAGCAACATGGATATTTCCTTGCCTCCCAGGGCTCTAAATCTTCTGGAGCCACTACCTTGCAAGCTGTTCGTGAGGGACAGCTTGTGGGTAATCTCAAATCTTTTCCTTATTCACAGAGATTCAAAGAGCACCGTGTTGCCTAGTTTGGATAGTTGAATGATTACAAGGAAACAACCAAGCTCAGAGAATATGAAGGACTTTTATTTCAATCCTGAGCTACAAATATTCTTTATTATTTCTTCTTCTGGAAATCCATTTATTAGGTTCCTTTTAACAATTAATGACTCTAGTCCCTGTCCTGTAATTATAAATACTGAAACTTTTATTGTAACAGCAAAAGTAACAGAGTCTTGTAAATTTCAATTTGTTTCCCCTCACTTATTTTATCTTTAGGTAAAGTAGTGAGGATCTTGTCTCAGATATTTTATTGGCCTTGGTTTAAATCTCTCTTATCGGATAGTAGTGACTTTTCATCCTGTCTTCCTATGTTCTCTCTATATACATGGTTTCTACTTCAGAATCAAATATACTTTACACAGAGTATAAGTTTATATATTATTTATTTAAATAAACAAGCATTTTTGTTCCAACTCTTTTAATTAATAAAGAACATTCTATTATCTTATAATGATTTGTAAAATATGATCATTTGAACCAAATAAATAACTAAAATTCATTTAGAACAAGTTTCTTTAGTTGATAAACAAAATTAGATTAGATTCAATTCTATCCCTTTAATTTAACTTATATAAATGGCAATCTGTTATAGAAAAAAGCAATACATATGGACTAACTTTACCAATACATAATATGTGAGTTGGGAAATGCAGTATTCAAGTGATAGGCATTATGTATCATTTTCTCTATATTTGTCAAGTTAAGTATTATAAGATATCATTGAATAACTATCTGTTAAATAAATTATGATATGAGCATTTTTGGAGAAACATTCTTCAAATCCCACAAAACAAATAAAATCAAATTTCTAATGTATATTGTATTTTTCATCTTACTCACAAGAAATAAAACTTGCTTGGAAGCTAAACAACTTGAGTCCAGCAGTCAAAATAATTATAATAATAGAAAAGATCTGTACAGAAATAACAATGATAAAGAATTTTTAAAGGATTCTTAAAGAAAGAATGATAAAAGCAAAACAACCAAATGTTATTGTAAAAATAAGTACTACAATTCCAGTATCAATTACATATAAATCTGAGCAGGCAAGTTTAAGTAAAGGTGGGATTTCACAGTTGATTATAATTTAATGATAATTTAATGATGATTTAATGATTTAATGATGATAATTTAAAACTGATTGATAATATTAAGGCAAAAAGGAGTAATGAAAGTTCCTATCATGTTTAGTACAGCAGTGAGAAAGCTGACAATCCAGACACTATTTAACTATTTTGGTACAAACCTTCCTATTCATTATCAGTTCATATCATAAAGGATTGTAAATGGCAACATACTGATCATATGCCACAATAGTAAGAGGAGAAATATCTGAATCTACAAAGAATGCAAACAAAAACATAAACTATATAATTATGTAATTGATTATGTAATGTATGTAATGTATCAAATATTAGCATCATTTCTTATACTGGTCAGCCAATCCCATCTAGGGGCCTGAACCTAGTATGTGAAATCATCATGTGATTTGAGGGAATGATAATAATTGTACAACAGAAATATCATTCTGCATTGTTCTTATGACAATTTGCATTACTCTGTAATGCAACATTATAATGGGTTGAGTTGGGAATTTGACAGATTTGGAGGTAGAATAAGTATTTGGAGGAAAAAAGGCAAAAGATGGATGGATAAGAGCTCAGATTAAGAGCATGGGAGCAATAATGATGAAAAGAAGAACAATGAATTTATTTCCCAATAAATTCCACCCAGCAGTATTTTTAATTTCAGTGTTTCATGTGTTTCCTCGAAAATAAGATCTGGTCTTATAATTTTTGTGACATCAAAAAAAGCACCAGGTCTTATTTTTTTTGGGGGGGGGGTTCACTTCCATTGACTCACCTTGTGGGGGTGGAACCGATGGTCCTGCCCACCAGGAGCTCACTGCTGGCCCACTTCTGAATCTGCTTGTCACCGCTTGCATGCACAGCCAGACCCTCCATTTTATTCTCAGAGGCCTTCAAGGAAAGGCCTCTGCAGCTGAGAAACGAGCTCCAGATATATACATGGGGTGCTCCCCAGCCTCCATTTTTCCATCAGAGGCCTTCTGGAAAGGCCTCTGCAGCCAATAACAATGCTCTGGATCAATCCTTAAATCTTCCAATTAATATTTTTTTTATATTGTAATCCAGAGCTAGCTATAGTGATCTTTAGTTTAAGATGTTTAGAATAGAAGGGGATTATGGTTAATTTAAGAATTTATATAGTTCCACCTCCTTCCAAAAAACATTGAAAACTTGGTTATTTCCCCAGTCCTATTGATAGGGTATTTGATGAGCTCCTGTAGGATTTTTTTTGCTGTTTTTGTTGTTATTTTTCCCTTTCTAGATGCACATCATGTGTTATTTTATTGTATTATTCTTGGTATTTTACATTTTTTAAAATGTAAAGTACCAAGGGACTTTGGGAGAGGAAGGAAGGAAGGAAGGAAGGAAGGTTTTCTTCTAGCAAGAGCTGATTTTATCATTGATATTGTGTGTGACATATCCCCCAAATTTTCATTTCAAATGGAAATTCTTTTGCAAAATCTTGTGTCTTTACATTTTTTTTTGTAGAAATACACAGCTGACATTAAACTTGTTCAGATTCAATGAACATACAGGCAAACAACATAGAGAGAATATTTATTAGAATATGACTAATTTTATAGGAGCTAGACACTGAAAAATTGGTATAATGCATTTTATTATTAATACACAGGGAGATAAACATGCACACAAGGTTTGGCAGAATATTTTGATAAAGTAAGTAAATTACTTTCCAAAACAATTAAGAACAAACCAGCAAATTGTATTTTAAATTACCAAGGTTTGTATAAATTCCACAAGGCATTTTGAAACTCTTTATTTCTCATGCTATAAATAAATGGATTCAGGACAGGAGGAAGAATTGCATATATCACCACAAAGATTAACTCCAGATCAGATGAAGTATTACTGGGTGGTCTTATATAAACAAAGAGTCCAGTGAACAACATCAAAGAGAAAACACTGAGGTGAGGGAGGCAAGTGCGTATGGCCTTTTCCCGCCCATGTACAGAAGGGATTTTGAGCACTGTGGTGAAAATCCACACATATGTTGTAACAACAAAAATAAAACATCCAAATATTATGATACCACAAAAGACAATTACTCCAACTTCAAATAGATATGAATCAGAGCAAGAGATTTTAAGCAATTTTGGAATTTCACAGAAAAATTGATCAACCTTATTAGAACAAAATTTTATTGAAAATGTGCCACTTGTGTGCAACACTGCATAAAACAGACTAACAAGCCACACAATAACTATCATCTGAATGCAGGCTGCTTTGTTCATGATTGTCTCATATTGTAGAGGATTACAAATTGCAACATGGCGATCATGAGCCATTACTGTTAAAAGGAAGTATTCAGAGGCTTCAAAAAACAGAAAGAAAAAAACTTGAGCAGTGCATTCAGAATAAGAAATAAACCTGTTATTCATGAGTGAATTAGTCATAGATTTGGGTACAATGACTGAAATGGAACCAATATCCGCCAGAGCCAAATTCATTAAGAATAAATACATTGGAGAATGCAAACGATGGTTCATGAGGACTACAATGACAATGAAAAGATTGCCTGTGAGGGACACTATGTATATTGTTAGAAATAGGAAAAAGTGCAAAATCTGTAATTTATAGACTTGAGAAAACTCCAGGAGCAGGAATTCAGTAGGTCTGGTAAGATTTGGCATGCTGTGTAGAAATTTAATGTGTATAATTATCTGTGGGGAAAAAAAAACTAATTATTTGCAAATAATTAATATATAGAGATAATTGTCATTGATTCAGCTCATACTGATCTTTGAAAACTGAAGAATAGAGGATAGGGATCATAATTTCATATAATTTCATCATTTTTATAGGTCAGTAGTCATATTTTTAAGTGATAAAATTTTAGAAGGCAAAATTTTCACTACAATAAACAATTTAAATGTTTCTATAATTGGTGTTATCTTATCATCCAGTCCTCCCATCACAACATAAAACAGAAATATAGATGAGGTATCCAACAGAATGACTGAACTTACTACCCAATCCTCTCAGCACTAGTTTTGCATAGTTAAATAGTTTTTCCTGATTCAAAATGAAAAGGGACCAAACTCCCAATGGCTAATCTCTTAAAATGGTATAATACATTGTCTAACTACTGTAATAAAAACATTTTTAAGAACGCCATTCTATTTTATTCTACTTCATGTCATTTTGTTTAACTTATAGCTGAAAACCTGAGAGTGAAAAAGAGCTATGAGAATGATAGGTTTGTCAGAAAGGTTCCATAATCTCTCTTAGAGAGTAGGATAGAAACTGATGTGGATGTAATAGTTGGAGAGAAAAAGAAGAAGAAAAAAAGCTAGCAAACTAAGTACTTTTGAAGAAAGTGTTGAAGAAATCAATTCCAGATTGAAGACCAATTGATCCCATAGAGAGGTAAAAGAGAACCTGAAGCTTAAGAAAATTAATATTCTACCAGCCATAGGAAATCATCAGATTGACCCTTGATTAATGGAAAGAAACATGAGACATAGCTGTGTACATAGTTAAATTTTTAAAATGGACATGCTTGCTATAAAGTTGAAACGTTACTATTGTAGGAAGGGAAGTAATTAATTGCAGAATGGAAGAGCAATTAAGGTTACAAATTGGTTTACTCTTTTGATCACATAGCATTGTTTTTCTTAGAGAAAAATTAGCGGTAGTGTGTGGAGGGGTGAGATTGGGGGGCAGTAAGACAATTATTTATCTGCTGCATAGCTGTAAGCGATTGACAAATCAAATAAATAAAAATAAATAAATAAATAAATAGTTCTGGTTGTGAAAGCTAAGTTCTTAGAACTTTTTAAATGTCATAAATAAGGAGAAGTTTTTATATGAGAAAGTCTCTTCTGAAACCAATAAGTCAAGTCAATGAAACTGATAAAAGAGCTGACTAGAAGAAAGCATCATTACATGGGAGAGGCTCTTTTGGAAAACAAAGCAGAGTTTCATCTGTTTAGGTCTGTTGGTATAAGGTCAAATTCTCAGATATTTTAGGGAAGGAGGGGGAAAATTCCAAAGTAAGGAGCTTGTCATACTCTCAATTATTATTGTACATAAAATTGGGTAAAGAAAAGTATTCAGGGGGGAGAGAGAGAGAGAGAGATGACAGACATAAAGTATATACAGCAGTTTTTGAAAAGCCTTACCAGGTTTTTCATTCAAATTTCTGATCATTCTAGAAATACGAAGGATGAAACTGCTACTTGATATAACACTTTTTGCAGTAATAATGTATTCAGAAAAATTATTTAATCCACAGAGCACTTATAAATACAAGATATGATAAATTCACAACATTATTTGTTTGCAACATAATATGCAGAATTAGACCCATGCAAGCAGTTTTTCATTGGTTGTCATAATATAGAATATACTTTAGCAATAGTAAAAATCTTCTTTACTTCCTCATTTGCCCCTTCAGGTGGACAGGGAAAAGTGAAGTAGAGGAAAAATACAGAAAAGTATACTGTGGAAAATATAGGATAGATAGATAGATAGATAGATAGATAGATAGATAGATAGATAGATAGATAGATAGATAGATAGATAGATAGATAGATAGATAGATAGATAGATAGATAGATAGATTTACTCATAATTAGTAATAAATATAATTGTACTCCAACCTGTTTTTTCTCAATATAATTTCATATTGATCTCATTATTGAAGCATCAAAATTCCTCAACTGAAACTGGGCATAAATGATACTGTGTGCATAAATTATTCCAAGCAAAACTGGAAGCAGTCATCTTCTGAATGGGTATGCACATACACATGCACACACAGAGAGAGAACTTTTTAGATTTACTCAGTTCCCTAGTTATCCTGCTATCAAAAGTATTGGCTTCTCTGTCATTACAGATCACACAGAATTGGTTCTACTTTCTTATTGAAGGCAATCAGTTAATAAACATAGGAGAATATATATTTAATGAGACCTCCCCCCCCCCGAGTATAATTGATCAGTTACTATCATTAGATCATGATGTGTTATCATTTTTCCCCAAATGAATTCATCCAATAAAATATATTTTTTGTTCAGTCAATTGGATTGTGGAAATCTTTTTCCTATCATAAAATTATTTCCATATTTTGGGAACTATGATAATTTCAACAGTTTCCATTGTGCTGACATAGTATTCTCTATAAGGGGGGGGGGGAGAGAAATACAATAAATTCTCAAAATTACAAGACTAGTTCTTCTTTCAATATAGGAAAACTACAGGCAAAAGAAAAACCTGACACCATTATGCATCCAGGATATAATCCAAACATTTTATTGCAAACTTACATTCATTCCTCATTATATCAACAATTTCTTCTTCAGTATGAAAGACTTCTGCAGTCCATTGTCATTAACATATTACTACTGTACTTTTTAATTGTTTAGCTGCTTCTCCTCCTCCTCCTTCTCACTATTGTTATTAAAGTGGCATTAATAAATCAATCAATTTCAACATATTTAAAAGTATGGCTTTCTATTTCACTCCAGGTGTTTCTTATTTGCTCAGTTCTTTAACCATGAAATCTACAATGATACATTGCCTTTTTGTAAATATGTATGTATGTATATTCTAGAAATCCATAATTGCATCAATTCTTCAATGATGGGTCATCTTTAAACAATACTCATAGAAAAGCACTACCATTAGATGTCTGTCAATTTTCCTCAGTTATGGAAAATAAAGTTTTTATATATATTTTAAGTCAAGGGCAATATAATTTGGGTTCTATGGCAATACTTTGGATTGTATGTTAGGTTTTAATTATTTGTGTTAATTTATGTAATGAGGAAAAGTGTTTTGTTAGAAAGACATTTAAAATACTTTGAAAATATCTACTTTTCTGCTCTGCTCTGCTTATTGCGTTGTCATTATCATTACAATGACAGAGTTTAGCTATAGAAGTGCTTAAAACTCATAGTTGTTGAGAAAGATGTCACCACTTTATTTACTAAAGATATGTTGCTGTGTAAGAAAAAATGAAAGATGTTTGCATTCTAGATACAATGGCTGTTCAGAACCTTAGTCTAGCTCACATGCCTTGAAATTGAAACATTTCCCTGCACACCTGAATCTAGCAGGACACTTGGGAATAGGCTCTAATTTTAAGGGATATAAAGCAGAATAAATCATATAAAGCTTCCCTTCTTATTTCACTGACTTGAAGCATTATTTGCTGATTGAATCATCTGTCATAAGTATTTAGACAGAATGTAGAATGACAGAAGTGACTCCTATGGTGCAGTGCAGTCAATACTTCTATTGCTTAAGATGCAGGGTAAACAGTGTTTTATTCATTATGGATTTCATCTCTTCCTCTGGATATTGAAGTATAGATAGAATTTCAGAGGCTTTACTCCCAATTCTGCCTGCCTAAATTTCTTATGACTGGAGTTGTATTATTTTCCCAATGGTCTGGCATTTTAAAACAAACCTTTTGCTGCTCAGCTTAAAGGTGAATAAAATATATATTTAACAATCAAACATGTTTTAGAATAAATTATTTCTTTTCAATTGTATATGTGTATTTCAATAGATAAGTTACTTTAAAAACATAATGAATGGAATCTTGAATGTATGATCTGGTGAAATGTTACTTTAGTTAAGTCAGCCATTTAAACATAATAATATTTATTTATTTAAGCTAAGAAGACAATTTTTGTTCTTCTTTTAATACTAGAGAATTTCTTTTTGAAAAAACTAACACATTGATTGAGTTTCACAGTGGAGATGAATGAGAAAAAGCTGGTACACATTCTTTAGGATAAACATTAATTGTTCATTTTTAATACAGTGGCAGGAAGAACGAGTAACAAATATCAAAGAAATAGATAAACAATTTTTGAATATTTTCTGAGATCCCTGCTTTGTTTTCTGTCCAAAGTTAAAACACAGAAACAAACAAAATAAACCCAAGTGGGATAGCATTATTGTCCTAGATTACTCTCTTTGTCAAAGGATTTTCCAAATTATTTTTGATTCTTAAGGAAAAACAAATGAATGATCAACTTGACTCAATCTACCATTGTGATTTGTCAAAAATCATACACTATTTTAAAATCTGTTCTCTCTTCCCTTTCTCCCTATCCTAAATATACTGTCACATCCTTTAAAATAACTAGCTAAGCAGTGTTGTATTGCATTGCATTGCATTGCATTGCATTGTATTGCACTGCATTGTTTACATTTTGAACTTGCAACTTTTCTAAGTATGTAAATGTGAACATGGAGAATAGACTAGAATAGAACAGTGGTGGCTAACATTTTTGGGCTCCTGAGCCAAAAATTGTGTGAGCACTTGCACTCGCTCGCTCGCGTGCCAGCACTCAGAAGATAATGAGTGCCCCCCCACCCCTACACTGTGCCTCACAGCTGATTTTTTGCCTATTTGAGGCCTATTTTGGCCTCCCAGGCTTGAGGAAAGCCTCTGCAGCCTGAAAAATAGGCCTGTTTTATCACTTCTGCTATACAGGAAGTGATGAAATGGAACCTATTTTTCAAGCTGCAGAGGCTTTCCTCAAGCCTGGGAGGCCGAAAAAGGCCTCAAACCAACTGAAAATCAGCTGAGAGGAGCATGCATGCACAGTAAGGAAAGTTTACCTGTGGCTCGCGGGCTGGCACAAATGGCTGTACGTGCCACCTGTGGCACATA